TATGCAGATCCTGATGATCAGACTTGGTTCACTCACAGGTCTAACTATCGAATCTATTTTTTCTTGGATTGAACTCCTTCATAACTATTTTGAAGAGTTTTTGCAGCAACCCTTAACTATAATGCAACCCATATGCAGCAACCCTTAACTATAATGCAACATATATGCCAAAACAACCTTTACCTACCTTTGCTCCAAAATCATTGCAAGTAGAAATTTGAAACACAGACTAAACTCAATTTCAATCAAGGTTAAAATTTCTATTCAATCGGAATATACCAAAGAGCCAAACGACAACATTGGGCTCAATACATTGTTATCATTCTGCTATTTTTTTATGTCCATCCCCTTTAAAACGAAAATAGGGCAAAAAAGAACCGAAATAGAGAAGAGGAAGAGGGAACATGATACCTGAACCGTTAGCCTTGAACCGTTAGCCTTGAAACGAAGGAGCCCTACAGCTTGAGGCAACGCGCACTTATGAAAACAACAACTGAAACGAAGGAGCAAAGACGCCACACGCAGATGAAAAGGGCAGAGGATGTAAGCTGAAAAGTAACCAGAAACGAAACAAAGAAGAAAAGGACGAAGAAGGAACGTGATACCTAAAACGACAACCCTACAGCTTGGGAGACCTTGCACTGATGTAAAACGAAGGAAACACGCACTAATGAAAGCATACGCAGATGAAAACGTCTAAGCAGAGAGAAACGCGAATATCGTCTAAGCAGAAACGAATAAGGTCGAAGGAGAAGCGCGAACTGAAATTGTTTTAATAATCATAGATATCGCTTAATATAAAACGCATTATCTATTGTGTTCCATACAGAGCGCTAATTTAAAGGGCGTTATTTATTTGCTCTTTCATAGATAACGCTCCTTTAAATACGCGCTATTTATTGATATATTTTAAATTATAGAATTAAAAAATAATATTAAAAATTTATAGATAGCGTATTTTTAAAAAAGAGTTATCTATTTTCCCAGTTATAGACAGTGTTTTTTTAAATAAGCGCTATCTATTGGTTCTCCAAATTCATAGATAGCGCTTATTTCAAAAAGCGCTATCTATTTGGCGCTATCTATTTGCATTTTTGTAGTAGTGCAGGAAAAACTCCCTTGTGCAAGAATATGAACTATTCAAGATGAAGGATGGTGAGAGTATCTAAGAAGTGTAGAAAAGATTCACTCATATAGTAAATCACTTGATGACTCTAAGCAAAGTATTTGATAAAGAGGAGATCAAAATCAAAATCCTGAAGAGTCTAAATAGGAGATGGCAACCAAAGGTAACAGCCATATCAGAATCTAGAGATTTAACTAACATGAATATGGAAACTCTTTTTGGCAAGCCTAGGGAGCATGAACTAGAACTTGGAAGGCTAAGAGAGGAAGAAGAAATTGAGAAGAAGAAATCAATTGCCCTCAAAGCCACAAGCAAGAAGTCCTCCAAGAAGGATGAATCTGAAGCTGAATCAGATGCAGAAGTATCATTAAAGAATATCATGAATATGATGGTGAGAAAATTTAATTGATTCATGAAAAATAGAAATTCTGCTACTGACAATGCAGGTCCTTCAAGAGGAAGAAAGAGTTCAAGAAGCAACATTGTATAGTGCTATGAATGTGGAAAAGAAGGTCACATCAAGCTTGACTGTTCAGACTTGAAGAACAAGCAGAAAACAATCACAAAGTACCCCCACGACAAAAGCAGAAAGCAACCTTGATAAATATCTGTTGAATGTTTATACATCTTATGTCTCTATGTTTATCCGTTGTGAATATGTTTATGAGATATTAAGTGTTTAAACTGTGTTGGTGATTCAAATTGTATCATTTATCCTTTTAAATTACTACTTGAATATTATTTTATATGCTCTGAGATATACTCTGATTGTACTGCATTATGCATCTGTGATTTGAGATTGAAACATACATAATAATAGGGGGGAGCATTACATATTGCTGATAGTTCACATGTTTTTATTAAGAGGGAGAAAATATTAATGTCATGTGAATATGATTGATAGGGGGAGCATCATATTATTTCTGTTATCTTATCTGATGCATCTCTATATGCGTGATTATCAGTGTCTCAATTACTTTGAATATCTTTTTTGATAATGCCCAAATGGGGAGAATTTGATGTACTTGAATATTGAGATAATCTGTATGATTTATGCAACATGGTTGTTTATTAATCATGGTTGTGCATCATAAAAAAAAGGGGGAGATTGTTGATAGGGGGAGCACTGGTTTAGCTGAACCCACAATCTCAGTGATATTTGTGTTTTGGATGATGAAACCACATAATTAATAACACATGAGTATTGTGTGTTACATGTTATGTGCTTACATGTTATATGCTTTTGGTTACTGTGATAAATCTGTATAAGCATATTTGTGAACATGATTGTGTTGTTCATTGCATATCACTATGTTTAATATGTGATTTTATATGTGAATGCATGACATAAGTTTTTGGAAATGGAAAACCACAAGCACTTTGGTTGAACTTTAATGTGTAGCAAAGCAACAATTTTAGTCGATTACATTATGGGATGAATCGATTAAAACTCGTGTATTTGCACAAACTTTTATCAAGTGTGCTGTGAGTTATTTTGAAGACAAGTTTTCAAAAATGTGCTAAGTGATTTTTCTTAATCGACTGCATGCAATTTGTATTCGATTAAGTTGGTTGTTATTTTGAAAACTGGTTGAATGCTTGACATAACTGTTTTAACGATCATATTTTTAAATATATTGACCAAGCATTTATTGTGAGTCGACTGTATTAAATGTGCATTGAATTAATGAGCTTGACTGATGTTAGTTTGTTATAATTGCAATATGTATTCGACTACATTAGTAGCAAAATCGATTAAAATGCGTCTGATGTGTGTATTACTATAAATTGACGCTGATTTGAATTCTGTAAGAACTTTTGTGACTTTGACAATTTCATATCTTTTACAGAACGCTGTGAGATCTTACAGAGAAAGGAAAAGCTCCAAGAACCATGATTGACTGTGGTGATCAAAGACTTGAGGTTTCTTGTGAAGCAAGGCTTGCTGATTTGAACGTCTGATTAATCTGCACAACTAGGTGTATTCTACGTGATCAGGATTTGCAATCTTTGAAGGTTGGCTTTGATTCCCTGCGGTGTTTGTAGGAAGAAGAACGATGTTCTTGACTTTGAGGGTGCCTCAAAGGGATAGATAGCAGAAGAGGGTGTTCTTGCTGCTGGTCTTGTTTGTTTGTTGTCTATATTTAAAGTAGAGGGTTAAAGAGGTGTTTTACACTTTTGATGTGAAGTCTCTATAAAAACCTTGTTGTAAAAACCTTGATCATTATAGTGCATTTGCTTCCCGTGGTTGGAATGACACTAGATGTAGGCAGGTTGGCCGAACCAGCATAAAAATCAACATTTGAATTTTGTGATCTATACACTCTTTTATTAAGTCGATTAAGCTATCAGTATGTTCGATTAAGTTTAGTGCTACATTGCATATCTTTTAACTTGCGATTTAATATAA